TTTTTTTCTTTCAAAAAAGTGCTGAAAATCGCTGAAATTTGGTTAAGAATCGGCTGAAAATTTTTTAGAAAAATTCGAAATTTGTTCGATTTTTTTCGGCTGACATTCCCGAATTTTGGCTTAAAATCAGCTGAAAAATTCAAATTCCCGCCAAATTTCAATTCAATTTTCCGATTTTCGGTTATTTTTTTTTAGTTGAAAACCTTCGAAAATTGGTCTAAAATCAACTGAGGATATCAAATTCCCGCCAAACTTCCTTCCTTAATTTTTTTTTGCAGACGACGATTTCGAAATACCGCCAGGAGTGTCCCCATACAGGAACACTCTAGAAGGTCAAAAACGGATGCGTGAAAAACGAGTGGCAGATGAGCCGACGACGTCGTCACGACCACCGAAAACATCCAGGAAGAAGATATTAGAAGACGTCACACCCCGAAAACGTCATCCACTTTTCTCGAAATCCACAATTCCGAAATTCCGCGGCGACTACGATATCACTACGGAATTCACGAAAGAGGCGAATAAAAAGAAGGGAGAAGAAGGTGCGGTGGCGGATCGAACACGGCGGAAGAAGGCGTCAACGCAGGATCGAATCCAGAAAGTCATGAAAATCGGCCAGAAAAAGCGAGGAAAATAACCTAAAAATCGATGTTATTAGCCATTTTTTACCCTCCCCATACTTGTATTTTCCTGTATTTGTTCCCCCAAAATTACTTGTTTATTCTTTTTCTGTTGCATCTGTTTAATAAATTCGACGAAGAAATGCTGAAATTCGAGCTGAAAATCTGTTCTAAACGAAAAAATCAATATTTAAAAGAGCCAATTCAAACCGCGCGCGTTTTCTACTCTACAAACGCGCTCCATTGGCACGCGCGAGAGAGTGAGAGACGCAGAGAGCGCAGTCAACCAAATCGTCTAAAAGAGGATTTTTTAGCTCATTTTTTCGCGATTTTACCGATTTTTTTTTTGAGAAATTTTGTATTTTATTGAATTAAAAAATTTTCCAGATTTGAAAAATGGCCGGTCATGATGATATGTCGATTATAATGTCGGCTGTCGGGCAGCAGGTAAAATTTTTTGAAAAAATTTTTTTTCGAATTTTAAAGCTTTCAGCTACAAGAAGGCACACCGTACTACGAACTCCTACTGAAAATGATCGAAGAAATCGGAAAAGACATTCGCCCAACGTACACATTCAACAAATCGACCAATGAGAAGCTCAAGAAGCATATTCACTGTGCAAAAATGCTTATTAAGTATGAAAAAGAAGATTTTGAGCTGAAAATTTGGATTTTGAGGGGTTTTTAGGGCGAAAATCGGCCTAAAAACCACTTTTTTCGATTTATTTGCTCCCGATTTTTCTCCCAGCCATCCACTTAAAAACCCGAGAAAAAAGTTGTCAAAACAAATATTTGACCGCCCATTATCTTTTTTTTTCCTTATTTTTTATTTCAGAGCCTGCCAAACCGAGGCCGAAAACGACAAAAAGAAGGCGGACGCGGCGGCCGAAGCGGCCAGAATCCAGGCGGCGCTTCGCAAGACGGACGGTCCAGAAGGCGATGAGGAGGCCAAGAAATCCGAGTCGAAAGCCTAAATTATTGATTTTCATCCATTTTTGTACTATAATTTCACTTTTTTTTCCCAACAAAAATCCGATCTTTTCTGTCTTTTTTCACTCTAAAATCACTGATAATGCAAGCTCGCCCCACTGAGAATGTGTCTGAAAAATTTGCGCGAAATTCAAAATTTCTTGTATTTTTTTTTCGATTTTTCACTCTTGAAATGTACATTTTTCTATATTTCTCTGTCCTGTTTCTCAATTCGAAGAATTCCTCCCATTTTTTTGAGACCCCGGAAATTCCGGGAAAAAAAAACTCCTGACCGCATCCAAATGTGCTAAAAAACCATGCGGCAAAACCGTGCCAGGGTTGCAATTTAGGCTCCGCCCCGACTCCGCCCACTTTTCTCCGGAGTTTTTTTTCCCCGGATTTTCCGGGGTCTCATTTTTGTCCCGAAATCACAGCAAATGTGCTCCATTGATACCTGAAAATTGGCGCTAAATTCAAATTTTTCTTGTTTTTTTTCGAGTTTTGAGCTCTTGAAATGTACTTGTTCTGCTTTTTTCTTCAATTTTTCGAAATAATTTAAGCTCCGCCCATTTTCAGCATCCCAAAAATGCCAAAAACTGTCAAACTCTCATCCCGTCCCGCGTTCGGCCGACGAATTCCAGATGCTACGTCATCAGACACTCCGCGTGTCTGCGTCTCCACCTATCTCCTTGATCCCTCGTCGGACACCCGGTCGGGCTCTTTGTGCATCCTAAAAGCTGAAAAAAACCAGGACCTGGTGCTGGAAAACGAAATCAGCACGTCGGCAGGCGTTTTTCGCTTCGACTTTCGGAATCCGTCGACCGTGGTGGCCGCGTTGACCAACGGATCGCTTGTCGTGCAAAAAATCGAGGGTTAGTCGGCGAAAAAGCGGGAAAATTGACCCAAAATCGCCCGAAAAAATGAGAAATTCGAAAATGTGCAACATGTCGTGAGATCCGGCGCATTGACACCATGACGCAAAAATGCACAATTGTTGAAAAACGGGCTAGAAAAAGCGATTTTCGGTCAGTAAAAGGGGTTTTGAGCTAAGAAACGAACGAAAAAAAGGAAAAAAAAAATCAAAAAATTAGATTTTACAGAGCCAACATCATCGGAAACGACGCCAGTCTCGTCGGATATGCTTCTAGATTTGGGTCTTTCCGATTCGTCGCTAACAATCACGACAGATAATAAAGTGGGTGTGGCCTAGCTTTAATTTTGTTTTTAGACGATTTTTCTAACCGAAAATCGCTTTTTCTGGCCCAATTTCGAAAAATTGTGCATTTTCGCGTCGTGGTGTCAATGCACCATATCTTACGACAAATGCAGATTTTCGAAAATTTAATTTTTTCGGGAGTCCCACGGAAAATCGATTCCCAACCATTTGTTGATCATTTATTGATGAACTCTTACACAAAATTTGAACGCGGCCGAGTTTTCCAGATTTCAAAATTTCTAGGACACCACTTCTATTCTTACAGTGGCAATCGCCGAATTGATTCCCCACTTGGCCCTGTTCATCTCGCTGATTGGTGCATTCTCCGGAGCATCCATGGCTCTTTTATTCCCACCGATTATTGAGCTACTGGTAAGAAATCGGCATGGCCGAGTTTTGGTTTTCTAGGCCACCAGCAATTTTGGAGCAAAAATGCTCAAAAAAAGCAAAATAAGCATAATATCGCTTGAAATAGAAAGTGGTTCAGTGGTGGCCGAGTTTTGCGATTTCTAGGCCATCGATTTTTTTTTCGAAATTTTGCGATTTTTTGGTCGAAAATCACAATGAAAGTGAAATTCGAGCGTTTTAAACTAAGATCAGTGGTTTTCAGCCGAAAAAATCGCTTAAAAATAGCTATTTTTGGTGGTGGCCGAGTTTTTGGATTTCTAGGCCATCGATTTTTTTGTCGAAGTTTTCCGAATTTTCGGTCAAAAACATTAATATTAGTAATTTTCAGCCAGAATCGATCGTTTTCAGACGAAAAATAGCCTAAAATTCCAAAAATAGCGAAATTAAGGTGGTGGCCGAGTTTTGGGTTTCTAGGCCATCGATTTTTTTTTGTCGAAATTTGCGATTTTTCGGTAGGAAATCGCTGAAAAATGTTATTTAAAGTCAAATTTGACCCTGAAAAAAATGGGCGGAGCCTAATTTTTGTGGCAAAAACTCTAAAATTTCCAATTTTCAGACATCCTATGCAAAAAACGAGCTGACAAGTGGTTTGTGGGCCAAGAATATCCTACTTTTAGGCTTTGCGATCGTCGGGTTCACCACCGGAACCTATAGTGCACTGGTGGAAATCGCCAAAACGTTTTCCGGATAATTTATTGATTTTTTACATTTTTTCCGAAAATTTCAATTGTTTTTGTATTATTTTGACCCAAATATCACAATTTTCAGCGTTCTAGCTGTGAAAAATTTGAACTTCCCGCGTTTTTTTTGTATTATTTTGACCCCCAATTTCAGCGTTTTAGCTGAAAATCCATGTGATTTTTTGTATAATTTTTTTTGCATTTTTTCCTAGTCTTTGTGTCTTTTCTTGTGATATTTTTGAGAGCTTTCCAGAAATTTCCCCTTTTTTTCGCACCCAAAAATTCCGCGTTTTTGTCTGTATTAGCAGAAATTTTCAAAGAAAAAATCGTCTTTTTTTTGACCCCAAACAGCGAATTTGGGGGTTAAAAATCGCAAAAAAAATGCACAATCGAGAAAATTTTGAAAAATTACAGTAACCCCTGCAAAATTAAAGGCGCACACCACAAACTTGTCGATTGGGTCTCGCCAAGGAAACGAATTTTTCACGGAATTTGCAGAAATTTTTTGAAAAAAATCAAAAAAGAAAAAAATCCAAAAAATTAACAAAAAAGAATCGTCAAAACTCGTCCAGAACCACTAAATAATCGTTAAAAGTACAGAAAATCGTCGAATTTCGGGAAATCCTCGTCGCTCCATACAACAAATTCTTTCCGACGTCTCGATTCTCGTAGACAACGTCGAGCGATTCTGAATTCAGAATACTGTAGCCACTCGTACATACAAGACACACACAGCTGCTGCTCCTTGTCGTCTTGTTCAATGTTCCAAACGCCGCCGGGGAGCTGCAAATAACTTGACCTAGAAAAAAAGTTGGGTGGCCTAGAAATCCAAATTCTTAATTTTTTCTCTTCCATGTGAGGCCCTGTAAACGCGATGGACGGTAAGATAAAGCCATTTCGCACCTGTCAGTGACCTAATTTCTATTGGATAATCGTTGAATCAGCAGCCACGTGGCACATTCTAGAAGCGCCACGTGGCAATGATAGCGTCCGGAAAACTCAAAAATTCTCAAAGGAGCGCACTTGCCTTCTTCTCTTTTAACACGGTTTTCAGGTTTCGACGATCGAAAACGCGCAAATTCTCGTCGTAGGATCCGGTGTAGATTTGATTTTCCGCGCGATTTTCGGCGGGAAAATCCACAAAAACGACGCCGGCGCCGAAGATTTTCGATTGGGAGATTTGGGTTTTGCTTCGCGCGTCCCATAACCTGAAAAATTGAAATTTTTGGTGTTTTCAAGCTATTTTCTGTTTAAAAACGACACATTTTGACTGAAAATGGCTGAAATTCGTGTTTTTCGGCCGAAAATTGGAAAATTTCGAAAAAAAAATTGATGGCCTAGAAATCCAAAAACTCGGCCATCAACGATTTTTCGTCTAAAAACCACTGATTTTGGCTTAGAAAAAAAATAAAATTTTTGGTCTTAAAATCGCATAAATTCGAAAAAAATGTGGCGGTCTAGAAACCCAAAACTCGGCCACCAACGAAAATATGCAATTTTCAAGCGATTTTCCGTCTAATAATGACATATTTTTGCTTAGAAAGTGATTCTCGACCGAAAAGTCACAAAAAAATTTGGTGGCCTAGAAATCCCAAAACTCGGCCACCACCGAAATGTTGTTATTTTCGAGTTTTTTTTTTCAATTCCCATAAATTTTTGACTAAAATAAACCGTTTTTCAGGGTAAAATAGCTCAAAATTCGTCGTTTTTCTCTAATTTTTTGATGATTTTTCTGATGGCCTAGAAATCTCCAAGAACTCGGCCACCACTCGAAATCTGCCATTTTTCAGCGAAATTTCGTTTGAAAACTACCAGTTTTGGCTTAGAATAACTGAAATTCACATTTTAAATAATTGTTGACTGAAAAATCGCAAATTTTTGAATTTTTTCATTAGTGTCCTATAAACCCAAAACTCGGCCACCATCTAAAATTGGATTCACCAGACTAACTTCATCGACCCATCTTCTCCGCCGGTGACTACAGTTTGTGCATCTGGCGTCACCGAACACGACCAAACTTCACATCCCTCGCCCGGGACATACGGTAGCGAATGGGCAAGCCACGTGGCAACGATCAGCGACGTATTCAGGTCTACCAAGTAGGCGTGGCCCTGAAAACAGTGAAAAATCGAGAAAATTGACCGAAAATTCAACATTGTTGACCCGAAAAAATGGGAGTCCCACNGAAATGAACTTTTNNGAAATGAACTCACCCGAAAATGAACTCGCCACATAAATGAACTCGGCGGCAATGAACTTGCCGAAAATGAACTCGCCAAA